TATATATATGTATATATATATATATATATATATGTATGTATATATATATATGTATGTGTATATATATATATATATATATATATATGTTCTGGTGAGAATGAGATCTTATGAAAGAAATAAGAATGAATCTCAGCCATTGGATCGAAAAAGCTAGATACGCATACTATCAAACTGAACAAGGGCAAATAAGTATTTACCTCTTATTTACGTTTCTCTCTGCAATCCTCTCCGGGAAATCAACGCACTTTAATTTCTCTCTCGTCTCTCTCTATTAACGTGAGATTCTCTTGCCCATATCTCACAAAAGATCTGAAATTTTCTCAAAATTAATGTCTCAAGGTATGATTATCATAAATTTTATTCTTTGTTTGTTTCTCATCTCAATTGAGAATCCAATAATGGTCTTTTTATCTTCCGAGCAAAAACTAGCTTCGTGGTTCCTTCACAATTTCGAGTGTGATTTGTTCTTGTTTTTCCACATTTTTCTTGTTCATGTGAGATCGGAAGCAATCTCTCTTCAATTCGCAGCGTGGGTTCTTGCTTTTTCTTATTTTTTGTAGTTCATGTCTGATCTTATTATGTTTACTCTTTTGGTAGATTCTTATAATTATATTGGATGCCTGAATTTGATATGTTTATAATTCAAATGACAAAAATTGATTTCATAGTTTCATTCACACATTCCTTATTTTAACCCTTTATTATCTCTTGCATATAATTTTAAAGAATGTATATATACATTAAGTGTGAATTGTGGGCTGCGTAGGTTTAGAGAGATTAATATGCCGATTTTTTATGCATTAAAAAAGACGGAAGTACCCTTCCATCTTCTATTCTCCTAATTTGATGCAGCGCATTTATTACTCACCTTATATAACCCAAATCAGTACTTCAATTTTTAGAAAAATAGCAGCCATCCGATGCATCCCATCAAACGATCTTACTTTATTCTCATTTCTCTCCACATACAAGGTCCATTCTTACAGGAACCGGCCCCTGTATATGTACATGTATATGTATATATATCTATATATATATATACACACACACCCCCGCATATATTATCAATTGAAATTATTGAATCATTCAACTACTTTTATTCTTCATGGTATCATAGCCTCTTTAGGCTAAAACACTAGCCTCTCTTCTCACTTGCATCTCGTCGGCCCTCCTCCTCCGTCTCATCGCCGGCGGCGAAGCTGTCCTAAACACAATTAAAGGCATAACCAAAGAAAGTTTTCATGGGCCGTGGCATACCTACACAACCGCCCCCAAGGAAGTTTGTCAGCGATGGTGGAACCTGTTTCGCGTAAGTATTTCATTTTTTAGAATTAACTTAGATGATTTATTCCAATACTAATTTATTTTTTATGACATTTATAGCTTCGTTACACAAGGTTGCCCGGGGTTTTGCCGGCGGACACGGAAAAAGTCATGAGTAGCACCTTTATTTCCTGCGGGTCCGTATGGTTGACGAAGAGGTTCATGAATGCCCGAAACAAAAATAAGAAGCTGAGTTTTGTGGGTGAAGATCACTGGGAAACGATGGTTAAGTATTGGGCAAGTCCGGATTTTCAAGCAAAGAGTGAGAGGTCGAGCAAAAACCGAAACACGGAGAAGGCAAAGCAAAGGCAATACTATGGGGGGCATCGTTCCGTGAGCGAGCACATCAAGAAGATGGTAAGTATTTTTTTGTAGTCTTTACCATACTTATGCAAGTTTTTTATTTCAATTTAATTGTGAATAGGAGGAGGAGGACAAAGTCGTTCCAAATCAACTCAAGGTCATTAACCGCTTCTTTGTGAAGAAGGGTTCCCAGCCGTCTCAAGAAGTTGCTGAAATCAAGGTTATTTATTTATTTGAAATGCAATTAGTAAATATTGTTTACACAAAAAATTAAATCATATTTTAATAAGTTCTTTAAATTGTGATTTATGTAGAAAAACTACAAGGAGAAGCTCCTTCTATAGCAGCAAGCCGCATCCCGATCTGGGTCCAATTCTATAACTCTTGATGATGTTGCTGAGGAAGAACTAGAAGATGACCATGGGTTGTACGCTGAGGTGGTGGGGAACAAGAAGAACCAGGTCTTCGGGCGGGGCTATGAAGCTGGATCTTCCGGATCACTTCCTTCGGGAGGCACTAGCCACGAAGACTATGCTGCACGGCTGAAGACCGAATTGGAGTTGAAATTGGAGAAAAAATTTGAAGAAAAATTTTAGGAAAAGAGTGCCAATTTAGAGAAGAAATATCAAGCTCAATCCCATGACTTTTTAAGTCAATTTCAGGGATTGAAAGAGTCGGTCAATTATTTGACCTAGGGCCTCAGTTTCCAGGTTCTTTGTCCGACAGTGCAACCCCCTTGAAGTCCAAGTACTTTGCTTCATCAACAGCTCACCCCTTCTTATTATTGTGCCTCGCAGCCCTTAATGTCTCCCATTCCTGTTTTTCAACAACTTGTGGTCCTCCCCCAAATGCCAAATGCTCAATCGGGAGGACACAATTCAAATAACTGTGATGTTAACAGTTTTCTAAACAATGAAAATCTGTAATTATTCACTAACATTTGTGTGTGATGATCTTCGTTTGGATGCTAGACATTACTTTCATTATGGACATTACTTTTATTAATCTACATTATTATGCTGTGAGTGATTTAATCCGTGTTTGAATTATGGCATGTTATGTATTATTAATTTTTTATTTTCAAAATTGTTTTTTTTTAATTTTTCGAAATTTAAGGCACGGATAAATCCGTGACAAAAATATTTTTTTTATTTTTTTTGAAATCCATGGCACGGATATGTCTTTGGCAAAATATTATTTGAATTTCGATATTTAATCTCCCCGCGTATTTGAACATTTTTAAAATTTTTGAATATTTTGAAAATTTTCAAAATAAAGGCACGGATATATAAGTGACTTATGTTATATTTGTAAGAACACAATTTTGGCACGGATACGTACCGTGCCTATTGCAATATTTTATACTACGTAAATGTTATCGGAACAAAAAATGCCGTTGTTTAGCCGTGCCTAATTAGCAACGGGCGATTGACACGGACATACACGTGCCTAATATGTTTAGCGTTTTTCTTACAACCGTTAGTTTGGAACGAATTTGTTACAAGCGACACCGTCTCTATCTTTGGCACGGATTAGATTTCCATGCCATACGATTTGGAGCTTCGAAATTGGCAGCGTTTCGTATCCGTGCCTAATACCTTAGTCACGGGAAACTAAAACTATAGTCCATGCCAAAAGCCGTGTCAATTCCATGTTTTTTTGTAGTGTAGTGTTTCAAGGATTCCCCTTTTTACCTTGGCGATGTTTGGAGAATCAGAATCATAAAGTATTCTGCTATATTCTTTCCAAATTTGCCAGAAAATAATCCCTGGGAGAATACCTCTCAACTAGTTTTCTACCCCGTGCTACGCACGGGCTTGTTATTAGGGCTCGTTGTCATAATATTATTGATGCGATGGTTGAAAATGGAGAGTTTGGTTTATGATTTAATTTTCTTCCGTGCTACGCTTGGGCATGTGTTAAAGGGTTGTGTATGTTTTGGTTTGTAGGATTTTGAAAGGCTACATTGTATCTTTTTGTTTTGTGAAATGTGAAGAGTGATATTATTCTATTTTGGGGTTTTTTAATTTGATGTTGGTGGTTGAAGAGATTCATTTTTTGTAATGATTTTAAATGTTCATTTTGGCATTGTACCGGTTGATGTTCATTTTGGTGTTTTGATGTTCGTTGAGGATATATGACGGCTTGGCATCTGTACATGTTACTATTGAAGCGAGAATTGCGAAAGACGAACATCAATGCTTAGTGTCTGCACACATTGGCCTACACGTTGGCGTTTAATGTTTGAGGTCTGTACGCGTTGGCGTTTACTGCCTTGTCACGTATGACATGTGTCAACACTACAACCTCTAAACTATCTTTTACATACATATACATACATACATACACACACACACACACACACAAATATATGTATATATATATATATGTGTGTGTGTGTGTGTGTGTGTATGTATGTATGTATGTATGTGTGTGTGTGTGTGTATATATATATGTGTGTGTGTGTGTGTGTGTGTGAAACAGCATAAATTTGGCTAGCTGTGATTTTTACCTTATTGAAGTAATAAAAGATAAAATGATAAATACCTTATTGAAAACAACGTCAGGATTTCTTTTTTAAAAGATTAATAAATTTTATACCTTTTTTAGATATATAACTAATTATGTATGTTACATATTTTTAAATGGTATAACATATAAACTCCAAATAAATACAATAATCAAATAAAATATATTAAGATTTTTAATCTATATACTCCCTTTTAGGATTTTTTTGGTAAAACTATGTAATACTTTAAA